CACACAATGAAAAATGTCAGTCTCCGACACTGATTGCTGTTTCTTTTATTTTGATTTTACTTGGAGGGACCTCAGTTTTGTTTTCTGTAATCTGCTTTCCCCTTTAAGATCTATGGATCAAATATTCTCCTTTGCAAGTTGGGTATCGTCATTAACTCACGGCTTCTGTTTCTTTGTATTCCACTCTGTTGCGTAGCTTTACATGAAGGATGCATCTAGGAGTTGGAAGCTAGTAGGATCAGATGGAAGCAACAAGCTAGCTATCAAGGAGCCATCAGCTAATATAGTCCTTTTGGATTACATTTCTTCTGAGAAATGGAAGGATATTATAGATTTTGACGACCACCTAGATGACATCAGCAAGTGAGAACCATATCCTAATCTGTTTTTCAATCGATAATTTTGAATATAATTTTTCGTGGCTGATATTTTCGACATTCTTCTATTCCTGTAGGGACTGGCTGAACTCGGAACTTTTCCAGTAAAATCCAACAGCCAAAACATCTCTACCATGGTGTAGCTAGTGATGTCGGTTATCATTCTTATCTTGGTTGTTATCCTGAGATTTTGGAATATGGAGAGCCTATAAGAACTTGAATAGAGCCGAATGTTAAGTTCTGATCTTAGTGAATTTTTTCTGACATTCGTTTTTGTTATTTGTGTTTCTGGTCCGTTGTATTCCCTGAAAGAGCTCCAAAATTCATAGTCTAACAATCATTTTTTCTGTGGGAGTTCAGCTGGAATTTTAAATGTCCATCTCCTGTCCTTGTCAAAATTACTATAAGCTCCGTGGTTTTGGAGCACTAGTTTTCTTGGATTGGTGGTTTATCAGAAAATCAATGTATTGCAAGGATTTGGGTGAATGTGTTAGAAGTGAGTGTTCGTGGTTGCTTATAATCTAGTTGCTTTGAATCTTTATGTGTACCTTGCTGTAAAAAGGATATAGGTACTCGACCATAAATTTATTGGGGTTGAGATTTGATTTGTTTGGTTGGCAGATGCAAATCTGTGATAATTTGGAGTGTAGACCGAGTCTGACCTCCTGATTTAGTTGGTCCTTTCCCTTTGCTAATATAATAGTCTCAAGAATAATTCTAACCAGTGGTAAGTATAGCAAAAAAATCAGACAAACTCGATACACGTGGACGGGGATTACCTGCTTAATCAGGTATTAGGGTCGGCGACGGGGCGGCAACGTTTGCCCCGCCCCGCCATGCCTTAAACGGATAACAGGGTGGGGGAGGTTGTCCTGCTTCCCCCGTCTCGCCTCGCTTCGTTGCCATTTTTAATCGATGGTTTGGGAAAAATTATAATTAAGAGTCGTAATGAGTTTCATTGTGAATAATAAATGGATAGCAATTGTGAAATAATTTGACTTTAAATTATAAGGTAATTATAATAAAATGAAACAAGCTCTAAGCCATGTTTATCGGTGCTCAAACCTCATCCATACAGTAAGAAAGTAGTGTTAATCAATAAATTTAAGGTTAGTTTCGAATCTTCTTTAGCTAATCTGTTTCTTTTATTGCCAGATATATTGAGAGATGTAAGATAATTAGATTGTGAGTAACAATCAAATGTCATGTTAGCCTTGATTTAGTCTTCTCGAGTCACATTCCACTTAGCCAATGGCGGACCCAACATTGAATTTCAGCCCGGGCGGACGTTGACCAGTCAACGTTGATAATCAGCGATCGTAAAAATGAGATTGTATATATATATACAACAAAACAACTGCATTATACGGGATCTCGTGTTTTGAAAACGTTGAAATATTGTTTCATTCTCAAAAAATCATACTTTCGTTTCGCTTGAAAAAATCGCTCCATAATCTGCAAAATGCCCCAATTTATTTTTCAATTAAAATTGATTAAAAAACAGTGTACACATGGTTTCATTGAACCCAACATCTTCTCCATTATTTTTTTCACTTATCCCTAATTTCCTAAAAACCTAAATTCCCAAATCACAATTCACAAATTAAAATTATAACTCATAAGTCAAAACTCATGGGAATTACAATAATATAACATAAATTATCATTTCTCATAATTCATAAATCACAAAATCACAAAAAAAAAAAAAAAAAAAGAGGAAAAACATATTGCTCCTGGCTGCCAGCAAAATCCGGAGATTATGGATACTGGGTAGTGGGTAGCATAGCAATTAGCAAACTAGCAATATTGATTGAATTTTATTTTGTTACCTCGTTCAAGTAGTGGCCAGTGATTTCCTTGTAATGGTTGTAAACTAAAGTGAGATGTGGCTTGCTTCTTGTCGCAACTATCCTCACCACCTCTTCATTTTCCAAAACATTCTTGTTACCAGCAGGCAGCAGGCCCTGTTGCTCCTCCGACACTCGTATCCCTCCTCGTCCTCTGCGACTGTCGGTTTCAATTTGGGATTTAGGAAGTGAATTTGGTTTTGTGGGTAATCAGAAATGGACTAATGGACTCAAGACCCATGGATTGGGCATTTGGGTTGGGTGGCTGGCCCTTTTTTTTTTTTTTTTTGAAAAAAAGGCCAAACGTTAGGAAAGGAAAAAAATAAAAAAATTGATTGTCTTCTTCATTTCTTCCTTCCCGGTGGACGGCTTTGGCGCCTAGCCTGAAGAAGCTCTTGGCAGATCCAGTACAAACGGCCGCGGGGGCTGGTCAGGTCCTAGGTCCCGCCCTGCACTTAGCTGATGGCAAATGTCAAATGTTATGTGGTGTCACTGATGCTTAGCACCATAACATAGCATTTAATGACACTTTGTTGCCACATAGCATTATCTAAAGCAAGCCTTGAAAAAGTTTGAGGGGGTGTTTGATGGATAGTATTGATGAAAGAATGTATTTTAAATAGTGATAGGATAAGAAATATATGGTTAAAAAGTAAGGAAAAGTTATTGATTCGATGGAAATTATTATTTTATTAAAAAATGTGTGGTTGAAAGTAAGTTTTAAAAAAATGTGTGTCAAACAAGAGCTTAACATGGAAAAAATAATGATATTTATTATTGGTAGAGATCGTCACTAGCATAGGTGATAGTGGATTTTTCGATTAATTGTTCAATGAAATTGTGAATTTTAATATATCGAGCAATGAGTTGAAGGGTTAGCTACCATCTAAGCCCAAGTTTGTCTACCATCATTCCAAAAAAATTGTTTGTCACAATAAGATTCTCCACCACACATTCACCAAATAAAATATTCTATACACAAACCAATAAATTTGATTTAAAATTTATCCACACATTCTCCAAAAAATACTATTCATTACACTAATTTTCTCTCAATAATGAGAGACAAACAAGCTCTAAACTGATGATGATCTTTACTATTTATGAATTGCATTATTTGGTGTATAAAAACATATTTCAACAAGTTACAAGGAAAGGAAAAAAAAAAGCATGCATAAAAAAACATTTTTAACTTTCACTTAAAACAATTTGTTTTTGCAACTTTGTAATTGCACTCGTGTTTTTCTTTTTTTTCTTTTTTGTAATCATGAGTTAGGAGGTTAGAAAAGTTATAAAAATTAGTTTGGGCATCCATGGAAGTGCTATTTATGGCATTTCTTGAAACTAATAAAAATCGGTTTGGGCTTCAATGGAAGTGGGCCATGAGTTGGATACGGCCCAGTTGTAACTCTCTCGTAACTTCCGTCTACTTTGTGGTGTTTATAAGCCCAATTAAAAACCAATCTCCATGGTGTAATGCATAACCAACTCACTCAACCTAAACCCTGCTCTTAGTCTTATTTCATAGATATATATAGCAACAGGACAGGACTGAGGGAGCAAGCGGCTTAGGGTTTAGGGTTTCCTTGGCACCAATTTATCTTGTATTGCAGCGGCTTAGGGTTTAGGGTTTCCTTGGCACCAATTTATCTTGTATTGCAGTGATTTCTTCGACTCAGCTTCTTCATCACCAAACTTGGAAGGTAGTATGATATTTTTTGGACAATCTCTCTCTTGAATTTTGATGTGATTGTTTCTGTAATCGGTGAAATCCAGGACCAAAAATCCTTTTATGCATTAACTTGTACTTCTTCTGTGTCTCCTTCCTTTTTTTTTTTGTTGTTTACTTTCCTTCCTCTTCTCTGTTTTGGCACTCTCCTTCAAAATTAAATTTTCAAATTTGTTGGTTATAAAGATTTTTCTGCGTTCTTTCAGCAATCCGTTCCGCTTGGTGCTAGCCGACCGTTCTTCCTACAAACCGATTAATACCAGGTTGAGCTGAGTACACCCACCTGGTTGAACCCGGACTGATCCGGTTTTTGTATAAAAAATTGTACTTTCAGCGGATAGATAAGGAATTCAACAACAATCTTCTCGTATCAAGTTGGAGCATTTTCCCACTAGGGCATGTGAATTGTTGTGTGAAGTTGGAATTAAAATTTATAATAACTATACTTTGCTTCATACATTCTTTCCCTAATTTTAGTTAAATGGTTTAAAATCTTAGTTTTTAAAAACGAATGAAAAAAAAAAAGTTTATATGATGTAAAGATTTCAAGAATCTTGCATTGTAATGTATTTATTATTCAAATTTCAATTCAAAAATATATTTTGACTAAACTTTTGATCCAACAATTACTCATTGGTTGAATTACTGACCGTCGATCACTGGGAGGGTTGGTTCTGAGTATTACGAGAATATGCATATTTTTGCTGAACCTTCAAATTGTTGCCTGAATTTATCTGAATTTGCACAAAATGTTATTTTATTTCTGAGTTGATAGAAAAATATACTATTTTATTATGTATCTCGCGTTACACTTTGAATGAAGCTCATGCATCTCACTTTATGTTTTCTGCGATGTCTGTACACATACAATAACTATGGGTTTGGGTGCTTTCATGAGCTTTTGAGCTGAGTATTGGTTATTTATTTGGGAAGATGTGAAAAGGTGGATGATTGTAACTAGGCTTAAAACTCCATGGGATTTGTATATAGTTTCTGATATATTGAAATCATTCTAATCGTATTAGTTGGCATGTGCTTTGATGATTGTGAACTCTTTCAAGTTACCATTTTATAAATAATATTTAGGAACATTTCATTGGGTTTTCTGGCATTTCAAAAGCTTGTGCGGTTTGTTTCTCTGCGTTCTAATGGGGACTGTAGGTCCTCTTTTTATATCACATGCTATTCTACTTAATCATTTAACATTTTTATGCAGGAATTCTTTGGACAGTAATGGCAGCTCCCAAAAATAAAACGAAAACAAAATCACAAAATCCCCATCCTAGAAAGAAGCAAAAGAAAGTACCTTTAGCAAAAGAACCAGAAAGAGAAGACCTCCTTAGTGATTCTGATGGAATGGATGAAGTAAAAGAACAGGAAGAATCTAATGAAGAACAGGAATTCAATTCGGACTTGGATATGTCTTCAGATGGGGATGATCCTTTTGCTGATGATATTCTTAAAGGAAGTGATGATGAAGGTATTCTCTTTCCATTTGAGTTTTATTTGGAGGATTATCTCTTCTCCTGAACTTATCACATTTGCTGGATCATTTGTTTAGAGGAGGCTTCAGATGTAGATTCAGATTCAGATTCTGATGCATCTGATATTGAGACAAAAGCTAGAGCAATTGATGAGGAAAAGGCTAGGGTAGAAGAAGAAGCTGAAGCTGAATTGCAGCTCAATATTAAAGAAGAGGCGGATGAGTTCCGATTGCCAACCGAGGAGGTTTAGTTAATTGATACTTCTGCATTGCTTTTATGAGTTTTATTATTATTCATTGGCCAATAACTTTTTGCCAAGTTTAGTTTTAACTGTTTCTACAAATACATAGGAGCTTAAAGAAGAAACACACAGACCCCCAGATCTTTCGAATCTCCAAAGAAGGATAAAAGAGAGTAAGTTCAGTTTCTATTAAATTTCTTAATTATGTTTTCGTTTTATATTGAAATTCTTTACTATCATCTCTCTTTTCTTTTACCAAGTTCTTTGAATTCGGTTGATCTGTTTCAGTTGCTCGAGTCCTTTCAAATTTTAAGTCTTTGAGGCAAGATGGAGCAACACGGAAGGATTATGTTGATCAACTTAAATTGGATTTAAGTTCATACTATGGATACAATGAGTTTCTAATTGAAGCTTTGGTCGAGGTTATTTGCCAATTTATGAATAGTCATCTCGTTTTGTTTCATTTTCTGTCTTTTTGGGAGGTTGTATTTACATGTGGAATTTTGTGATTTTTATTCAGATGTTTCCAATTGTTGAACTTATGGAACTCATTGAAGCTTTTGAGAAGCCTCGTCCAATATGTCTTAGAACAAACACTTTGAAGGTGAATTGGATTTTATTTCTTCTTTAATGCTTTGGTTTGTTACCCGTGCTGATGATCCTTCATCAATCGCACCGTGTTGATAAGACTTTCCTTTGGTTTGAATTCAGTCTCGCAGGAGGGACTTGGCTGGCGTGCTTTTGAACAGAGGAGTCAACCTTGATCCATTAAGCAAGTGGTCAAAGGTAAGAGTTACTATATGTTTATTCTATTCTCTATCTAGTAGTTTCTGTTTTCCTGTACCATTCTGTTCTTTTTTCAAGGGACAATATTTTTGTGTTTTGTAGGTTGGCTTGGTCGTTTATGATTCACAAGTGCCAATTGGGGCCACTCCGGAGTATATGGCTGGGTATTATATGGTATCTTCTAATCTCAGAATTTACAATCCTAATTTTTAGTATTAAAACAAAGCTGATAGTCAATTTGTTGGCAGCTTCAAAGTGCAAGCTCTTTTTTGCCTGTAATGGCCCTTGCTCCTCAGGAGAAAGAAAGAATTGTAGATGTGGCGTAAGTATATGTTAGTTATCTCAAGTTGCAATTTTCATCCATCTTTGCTTCTCTTTAACCCCATTAAGTTGTGTGGGCACCCTCTTTTTCTTAATTTTTTTGATATTGGAAGTTGAAGGCATTCATGTTATTATTTCTTCCACCGAATCATTTTTTCTATAACCTCTGTTTCACACAATCTCTGATGCTTTTCTATTTTACATGTCCCTATCTGAACTGGTCTTATTTTGCTGTACATATTTAATTATTCTGAGTAGCTTCTTATGGAATTGCAGCATAACGGATGAATTAAAAATTTTCTTAAGATTCAAACTTGATAGATATAATCAGTTGAAATACGTAATCCTTTGTCTTATATTATGTTGCTGAGGTTTTTTATGTCACATAAATCTCTATTAGTTTGAAATTTTATGTTCTTAAACATGCTTGTAAGAGGATGGTTGATAAGAACATGGTGAAATGGTTGTTTGAGCGTTTCACGTATTTATATTTGCAATTCATGTGAAATGTTTGAAATTTCCCCATGTTGACACAATTTGCGCATTCGTAGGGCTGCTCCTGGTGGTAAAACAACTTATATTGCTGCACTAATGAAAAACAGTGGTAAGTGGCTATCCCACTGCTAGCGATGTATGTCTATATATGGGAACATGAGAAAATTTTCATGACTTTTTCTTCTTTGTTACACGAATGATTGATCAATGAACGTGGCTTTTAAGTAGTTTTTTCTTGCTAGTCATGTTATTTTGCATCTTCCATGGACCCCCTTGTGTGAGGCTACACCTATGATCTATCAGAGCTTCTTTTGGATGTTGTTTTCAACTGTTTGCTGGTGATCCTACATCCCAGCCCCAGCCCCAAGAAAATAAATTCCACTGATCTAAGAATTGGAAAGTAGATCCACACATGGTAGTATTAACATGCAGCTCACTCTCTTTTATGGCTCAGTAGCCGCCCAAACTGTTATGTGCCCATTTCTGATGCTGTTGTTCAATACCCTTGAGACTGGGGGTTTAGTTTTGCAGATCAATGGATAGTGTAACAAACTGTGGTGTAATACGGAATTCACCTGGTAAATCAGCATGCTGTTTTTTCTTATTTTTATTTACAGCTTCCACATTCTTAATTTCACTTAAGAGCATTTCTGACATTAATAAAAAGGAAGGCATTTGGGGTTGGGAGGCGAGGATTTCTTATTTTTGTTTTGTGTGTTGGGGTAAGAAGGGGGGTGGGGTGGAAATATGAAATTTTTATGATTAGAGCATGACATAGATTTAGCCTCTTTTTGGGAAGAATTTATAGATCGTTTAATATATAAATAGATAGAAATGAGTGGTAGATAGTACTTGCGAGTCCATTGGAATAAGTGGTTGGAAATGAGTTTTGCCATTTATAAATGATTTATAAATTTTGTCGATTGGAGGCTTACTTGTAGAATTTTTGAAGTTGGCTATTGCTAGGAATTGATATATTTTTGCACTACATATTCAAACTTTTCCTTTTTTGACCTTTAGTTGCGAAGCCTATTTGATTCTAAATTATATGTACCTTCTCTTAGTATTATATGTGCTAAAAGCACTATGACTGCAAATTTTTGTTATAAATTGTACGTGCAGTGTAGTCAACTTGATATGTTAACATGGTTTCTCCTGAAAAAGGTATCATTTATGCAAATGAGATGAAGGAGTCAAGGCTCAAATCCCTTAATGCAAATTTACATCGCATGGGGGTAACAAACACCATTGTTTGCAACTATGATGGGAGGGAGGTTAGGATCTTCCCTCATTGTTCCTGAAATTTCTTCAAAAGATTTTATAACTTTTGTTTCCACTGGTTGTAGTTTTCTTTTTCTAACCCAACCCAACCCAACCCAACCCAACCCCCACACACACAAAAAAAGAGAAAAACAAAAAAGCAGAAACGAAAAAAAGTCCTTCCAGGAAAGTATATCCTGCAACTGTGTTTTACAGGACAACCAACATATCCTTGTACTATAATGCTGGTGTGATCCAAATTCTCTTTTGTTTAAATGAGATCATCTCTTTCCACATCTTTATTTCGTTGTGACAACTATCCCGAACGTGTTGTTTAAATGTCTTTGAGCATCAGGAAGAAACAGAAGAAAATAATACGATTGCTTAGCTTTCCTAATTTCCCACCTTTCTAATCAGGCTTTCATATACTTTTAATATTTTTTTATTTCTTTTATGATTATATTGTCCATAATTCTGGTGGATCTAACATATCTCTTTTTCTTTTATAATTTAACATTAGCTGCCGAAAGTTTTAGGCAACAACACTGTTGATAGGGTTCTACTGGATGCTCCTTGCAGTGGCACTGGGGTATGCAATCAAGCTTAATTTTGAATTTCCACGAAAGACTCTTTTTGCACTCGCTGCATAAATTTTTTTGATGGGGTTATTCTCATTTTAGGTCATATCTAAGGATGAGTCTGTGAAAACCTCAAAAAGTGCTTTAGATATACAAAATTGTGCTCATCTGCAGAAGGTATGGTTTCTTACGTCCAGAAAGTTATGTTTTACCACAATTTTCAGAAGAATATCGTTTTTTAATATTCATGGCCTATGCTTGACCATGAGTCGTGGAACCTTGAAGAGTAATTAGGAAATATTTATATAATGACAGCAGTTTCTAAATACAACTTAAATATGCTGCGGTTCCACAATATAGTTTTATAATAGAAAATCGTTTCCTAACTTGTAATCTTTAATCTCTACCAATGTATGCTTTTGGAACCTCATTTGTTTTTAAATATGTTTTCAGCAATTAATACTTGCAGCAATAGACATGGTGGACGCCAATTCAAAATCAGGGGGATACATTGTTTACTCCACATGCTCCATAATGGTTGCTGAGGTTTGTTAAGTTATTTCCTTCTCTTAAGTCCTTGAATGTCTTCTATTTCTTCTTTCTGAAGGCTGGAATTTGCAGAACGAGGCTGTTATAGACTATGCACTCAAGAAGAGGGATGTAAAACTTGTGCCTTGTGGACTTGATTTTGGGCGTCCAGGGTATTACCTAGCTAGAACTCATTTGTCAAATCATTATTGCAATTGTATGATTAGTCTCACAACATTTCTTTTGTATTCTAGATTTGTTCGCTTCAGGGAACATCGGTTCCATACTTCATTAGAAAAGACCCGACGTTTCTACCCCCATGTTCACAACATGGATGGATTCTTCGTGGCGAAGGTATGCCTTTATATGGGGAATGAATTGAGATGATCTAATTTTGTGTAAATTACTTTATTACGCGCTTCAGGCTGAGCTTGTGTTAATTGCTATGCCATTTTTGGGCAAGTTGTTTTAGTAAGTGTCAAATATCTATACTACATGATACAAGTCTAGTTGAGTTGTCGATAATCCTACTTTCCAAACATGGACTTCAGATCTTTACTAGAGTTAGGTTGTAATGGCCTCAATATGTACAGGATTCGCATAATCTTAAACCTATTTTGTTGTACCTCCTCCTGAATGGTCACTGAGTATGTTTGAGGCATACCTCCGGAAATCTATGCATTACACAACTTTGACCTGTCATCCCCACTTCTCTTTTCTGCTGATTTATGAACTTATAATATTAATCTATAAATACCTTACTTCAAATACTACACGACCCCAATTGACCTGTGTAGCTAAGAGCTTAGCTTTGTTTCCTGTACTTTCATTTATATATATATATATATTTTTTTGGTTAAAAGTTTGGTTTATTTAGGATTGCTGGATTGAATTATGATCATAAAAAATGTAAGTGCTGCAATAATCAGTAGAATAGCTAGATGTTGCCCAGGCAGTTGTTTGCACTTACACCGCTACTGCACAATATCTGTAATCTCCAAACTTTATAATCCATTTTTTTTGGCAGTTGAAGAAAATGAGCAATTCCAAAGCGACTCCAAATCCCTCTGAACCTTCAGAAGTGGTGGAGCAAGGACCTGATTTGATGGAGAGCAATGACCAAAACAATGGTGAAGGAGATATCCACCAACACTCGAAGAAAAAGGAGGTTGCCAAAGAGCATAGGAGGTTGAGCATTGGTTCTACTAAGGGCGAGAAAGGAGAAAATCCACAAGTCACAGAAAAGAAGATGAAAAGGAAACGCCCTTCGAGAGAGGAAATTGCAAGAATCAGGTACTTCGTCAGCTCAGCTAAGGTTCTGTTGTTGATATAAGATTAACTGTGCAGAGTTTTGTAGCCTTTCTCATAACCCTTTTTCTTTTCTTTTTTTTTTCCTTGTTTTTCTTGGGAAAATAATGTTCAGAGAAGAGAAGAGAAATGTTTTAAGGTTGGCGAAGAGAAAAGGTAAGAGGAATGGTGGAACTGTGGACTGACCAATTTGCAGCTCATAACGGAGTGCATGCTTAGTTGGAATCCATAAAACAGTAAGTCATCCAGGGGATGGATTTTTTTTTTTTTTACTAATTTATGCTATAAACAGCTCCTAGACAACACTCAGTGTTTGTATTAATTAATACAGTAAGAGCAAACAATCAAATTAAAATTTTGTTCACTGTGCTTGCTATTGCTACAAGAATCTTGATTTGTTTTCATTTTACCCATGTATGTTCTTTTGTTTCATACAAATTCATGTGTTTTGTCAGAAAATTCAATTTTTTAACTCATTGATGGTTACAGAAGATCACTTTTTTTACCCCTTCATATTTCAGCAACTGGTTCTAGTCTGATCATGTAAATATTTGCATGAGAAGATTTTATTCTTATTTTGAAGGAAGGATATGTTCAGTACCTGACACTTTTAAAACTTTTTCTTGTAAGTAAAAGAGAAGTAAGTTTTAATATTAATAAAAAAAATTACTTTTTCACTCTTTTTATCTCAAGCTTAGCCAAGCATGAAAAACTTGTCATTGAACGTTGAAAATAAGAATGTGACGAAAAAAGTTTTAAGAATTCAAGTATAAAAATGAGCAAAATTTGAGAATATTCATTACAATCCAAACGTGATGCATGTAAGTGAACGTGTTGAGCAGCGACTATTTTGGTAGCCCGAAAGAGGTTCGATTTTTCCTTTAGTGGAAGAAAATATAATGGCCCAAAATGCTTCCCTTAAGCTCGGCAAGTGGGGAGATTTGTTTCGAGACAAATGACGGGATGCTCTATTCAGAAAGTATATCGAAAGAATTAATCTAGTGTGTCTGGAGGGTTATCTAATGGTTTACTCTCTCTCACCAAAAGTGCAGCCCCCACATGTATTTAAAAATTCAGGCTTGTGGTCCCCATCCCTGAGTGGGGTGTAAAAAATTTGGTAAAAAAATTCTGTAAGGACGTGTTTGATACGCTTTATTTTCCAGGCAATTAGGAAAATATTTTCCACTTTCCACTTTTTGGGCTGTTTGATAGGCGAAATTTTCCACAGAAAATATTTTCCGGGTTTAGCCCACACGTGTACATTTTTTGGCTTTTTGATGAAAAACTTTTCCTGCCTTTTTGGTGAGAAAAAATTTTCTAGGCTGGCTGGAAATTTTTATTTTTATTTTTTGCAATAGAAACAAATTTCATAGCTAATGGTAAAAAAAAATTTCATTTTAATGGACAGTTTTCATGTAAAACAAAATCAAACGAACACTAAACTTTGATGAAAAAAATGATTTTTTAGGAAACAATTTTTTTTCCTTTTTGGCAATGGAAACAAATTTTATAACTAATTGTGGAAAAAAACACCACTTTAATGGACAATTTCCATGTAAAATAAAGCCAAACGAATAGAAAATTTAAAAATTTTCCACGTGGAAAATTATACCAATCAAACACACTTGAAATCGTTTTCCCTGCAAAA